TCCCCACTATTTTGCCACCCAGAAAATAGTTAGAGTTTCACTTTTCCACTAAAAGCCACTCATTTTCCACCTTCAAAATAAACTAAGTTTCATTTTTCACCAATTTCCACCCTTTTGCCACCATAAAAAAAGTCTATGTTCAAAAATTTCCACTCAATGCCACCTAAAATGCCACCAAAGGATAGTGGCATTTGGTGGCAATTTTGCCACTACAGTGGAAAAAGAGTGGCATTTTGTCATTTTCCAGTTAATGCCACCTTTTTTACACTTAATGCCACCCTTTTCAGTGGAAATAGCTGGCAAGTAGTGGCAAATCTAGGGACGGGCAGGGCTACAGATAACATTTTGTGTATATTGGGTAATTACCCCTTATTTTGTGATCTATTGGGTTTTTTCTATTTTCTTTGAGTTATTTCTGTATTTTTTACCCTACCCCCTCTAACCAATTTGGGTTATAAAGTACAAGTTCATGCATTTTACCCAAAATTTTTGACCTTCATTGTAGACATTTGTAGGTTTTGTACGGTAATAAAAAAGCTACTTACTACTTTGCTTTATGGTTTATTGGCCTAGGAAATTTCCAAGTTGCCTTATATAATTTAAAGGTTAAAACAGTCTGAAACAGTATGATCTGCTTGATGTACGCGTTAAGTAATAATTTTCGTCATTACGCACCAGTTCAAATGTAGTTTGTATAAATAAGAATTCATTTACTTTTTCTTACCCTTAGTTATTATTTCTATTGGGTTTTTAGACATTTTAATTGGGTAATAACGCAAATACGCATGTTATCTGCAGCCCTGATAAGCAATATATTTCTGTCACATAAATACAAAAATTCAGAGAAAAAAAACAAATGTAGCATATACTAAGAGCAATTAAAAGCAATCTCCTGACGATTTATCCTCGACAGGCTGTTACCCTAGGCATTTTACTGTTCTAGTAAAAAAAACAATGAAATTTTCTAATTATTTAAGCATTTTATAATCATAAAACTTTAAAAACATAAGATTTACTTTGATGTTTTTAAAATTTAAAAATGCTATTTTTTCTAAATTAACATTTGTGGAAACATTTTGACATAAACTGTGAGGGTGTCGACACTAGGCCAGGGTCAAATTTAGTCACCCGACAATAATACCTCTTTTTTAACGATGATGTTATGTCTTTGGTGCAGTTGAGTGATAAAGCTTTTCATTCTTGATGTAAAAATTGTCTGAACATATCCTCAAAGGCAAACAAAGGTTAATCAAGGTTAATGCATTGTGTGAATTTGATTTTGTGACCTACCATGTAATGTAGTAACAGGGTTATTTTTACTAACAAACAGACGCCTATAATCAGCGTCTTACCTTTGCAAAATAGCCAATTTCTACCCCAAAAGTCAATTCTTTCCTAAAACTTTTTGAAATTCTAAATTTTTATTGTGTAAAATATTAAATGTTTGCATTTTTGCCAATAAAACCAACCATTTGTAGTAAAAAAATAACCAAAACTTTTGCAGGAAACTGCAAGTAGTGTCTCAACATGGAAGCTGCCATTTTTACTCGGCTAAATTCTGTACTGAACGGTACAATTTCCAGACATTAAATTGTATTAATATGTTATCATGTTCTTATTTTTTTTTATTCAAGTAAGAATTCAGTGCTTCTGAGACTGAAAAAAAAATTGACTTAAATTCACAGAGCAAAAGTCGGTATTAGATGTACATGTACTATTATACCTACATTTAATTCCATACAGAGGGGTTGCAAGAAACCTTCACCACAATACATATAATTATGAAGTTCTTATTGCAAATTTGAAGATACTGGGACTTAATGAGGAATATAAACCTCATGAATGGAAAGAATTTGCATGATGATAAAATTTTTACAAGAGATTCAAATCTGATTCTGTTCTATATACATTGGTATTATAGTGTGAATAACATTGACTTTCTGGTAACACAAACATTGTCCCCAAATTATTTCTTTCTCATACTTTTCCCCCTCCCTACCAGTGTCTAGTGTCTTTTCCAAAACAAAAAACCCTGCACTGATCATTTTGATTCATCACTTTCAGTTACTATCTTAAACGACAGTGACAAAACGTGACAGAAAACTTGCTGTGCAATCACACACTCTACAGCCTAATCATAATAATCATGAATTAACTGTTAAACAATTTTCACTCTAAATTTCAGCAAAAAACTGTTTCGCCTAATTGGTTTCACACCTGGCATCTTCAAATTTGGACAGGGTTTGCTTCAAGGTGCATTCAAGTAATTAGCAATAGCTGTCATGCAAAAGTGAAGAATGCTCCCATAAATGTATTGCATAAAGGTACATAAATTATAAAAATAAAAGAGAATAGCAAGAAAATAATAGTAATAATTGCAAAATAATACTTTGTGTAATAAATTGCTTTTCATAGCAAACTAACAACACAACAAAATTCTTTTTCAGAGAGGTATAAAATAAATCTTTATGTGAGAGTACCTTCAGATTAAGTGACACTAACTTTGGAGGTAGGAAAATTGGACAAATGTTGCCTTTAATTGGGAGAAATTTATGCAAAAATATTTTAAAACCAGTCAATGTATGACCAAGCTACAGCCCTGATACATATAAGTACCTTCAACCTTTCAAGTGTGACCTTGTCGACTTTTTTAGCAGAGATATTGGCCTTAGACGTGCCATTGTAGACATATGTGCCAAGTTTGTTTTTTTTCAAAACAATTCTATGTGTGACAAAGTTTCAGTCTGACACAATCTTCAAACTTTTTTGTGGGAATGAATGCTGTTAGTGTGACCATAACTTTTGGGGAATGGACATAGCTCTTGGACAGAACATGTTTTTTTGATGTTGTAGGCATATTAAAAGTCTTTCCATGCACAACAATGTTACAGGCCAGAAACAAATATAGAAGCCTTTAAACTCTTGAGTGAATTTAAACCTTCTGACGGCTGTTTTGACCTTGACCTCTTTAAGTAGGGACATGATTCTTAAACATGACAATGACATCATCATGATCTGGTAGATATATGTGCAAGTTATTTTAAGATTCTTCAATGCATGACAAAGTTACAGTCAAGACATGAATGTTATATGCACTTTTAAAGTCATAAAAGTATAGCAACAGTTTACAAGATTTCTCACCAAAGCTGTTTTCCTGAAGCCTTGTAAAACAATCTGTACCCTGTTCCCCCATCTTTTTCTTCTCTTCTCTCCCCTTCTTCTTTTGTGACAACTTCTCCCCTATAAACCAGTAGAAATTCGCCTTTTTCTCTTGCAGTAGTAGTTATAACGCCTCTACCTAAAATATGTACATCACTGCTAGAAATGTTTCTCAGAGTAATTAAATCTTAAACATACACATTAAAGTACATGTTGTTTATATTTTATTCATTTTTAAATCACTGGTAAAAATGTAAAGCAGCTAAGTTATCTGAAATTCACTATAAAACAGATGTCAAATGATGAAAACAAATATCTTTTAGCAAAATCAAGCAAAGGCTGCTTGTGCCCTTATTTGTTTCTACAGTGAAAGTTTGGTGCATCATGGGTTATAAATGTAGGCTCTATAGAGTCATTAATTTAAGCTAAACTCTACCCTATTCCATTGAAGAGATGATGTATATTTCATATGTTTACCTTTGTTTTCAAAAAATCTTACAGCAAACCCTGGCGGATCTTCCTCCCTCTTTATCCACTCCTCTGCGTGTTTGTTTGGTGTTTTTCTTGAACACCGCTTTCTGTTACCTGTAAAAACAAATAGACACATTTTCAAACCTTGAAGAATTTTTGTATGAAACTCCCATTAGCATTCCTTTTCATGCCAATTTCTCCCCAAGTTAACAAGAGTTCACAGTGTTAGAAAACAAATTTTCAAATAAATTTGCACACAGGACAAATCCAGCTAAACTTTTACTTGCCCCTCTAACTTGAAAGTTGCCCAGCAGTTAGATCTACTTTCTTTTTTCTTCATAATAATAATTGAACAATCCTCTCAACTCTAATAGAATAATAAGATGTCTACATCTTATACATAATTTGCCGAATAGACATGAGATTTGAGTCCGAAATACCTAAGTACCTTGGGCCGAAACGTTCAACATGTTCAAGAGACCAAGAAACCTGCGGTAACATTATATTGGTATCGACGAAAGGCTTAAACAATTTCTCTAACTTTAGTATTTATGAAAATAAATATGTAAGCGTTCAATGCCTTGAAAGTAATGGTTATCTAAAAATTTTAATTAATTCGACATACCTGACGCCATTTTTCCCCGCTCACATCGACAGGCGCTTGATATGGCTTTCAGTTGTAAATAAGCGTCTAAATGAGTGGGTCTAAAGAAGGTACCCGTTTGAATCGGAACATCTCATATCTTATCCTAGAGTGACTTAATCAGATGCATATAATATTTTATGGTGATGAGAGTGAGATATGGTTTTGTAAGGACACGTGTCCCATCAAGGAATTTCATTTTGCAAAATGTCAAACGATCAAAGCATGTTCATAATAAGAACCGTTGAAGTGAGGACAATGATTTGTCCTGACATCCCATTGAGCGTCCTAACAAGGAAGGTTTTTGGTGCATTAAATGTCCTGACAGAACGGGTAATATCATCCCTCTCTCTCTCTCTCTCTCTCTCTCTCTCTCTCTCTCTCTCTCTCTCTCTCTCTCTCTCTCTCTCTCTCTCTCTCTCTCTCTCTCTCTCTCTCTCTCTCTCTCTCTCTCTCAGGGTTGTTTTTTTCTTCTGTTTTTTGTATTAAATTTGCCAAACTTAATAATTCCCTATTCTATCCAGTGTCTTAAATTTCTATTTGACAGACCCTGTTCTATCTTAATGTTATGGAGCAAAATTGATGATTTATATTAAATTCATGTGTGTGTGTGTGTGTGTGTGCACGCGCGTGTGTGTGCGTGCGTGCGTGCGTGTGTCTTTTTCAAACTTCCACTGACAAATCAATTACTTGTAACTATCCGGAAAATATGTAGTATAAAAGTTAGACTTTGTGGGACGGGCTGTTGCTTATGTTGTAATAACATGTAGCCCAACCCATTTGCACCATACATATATTTACATTTGTTTCTTTTTTGTGTGTGTTATTAATATCTGACACGTATTATATAGTTGCAATAAAATATTATTAAACTAAATCGGATTATTTTCATCAAGAAACAGAATCATGTGATACTGTTTTTTTATATAAATCTATTTCATTCTATATCAATAATGAAATGTAAGAAACAAAAATGTAATCGTAAACATAGCAAAATTTGTATATTCAGCGATGCAACTGAGAATTGAATCTACGTCATATATTTGTTTGAACAATGAAACATAGATTTATGTATAATTAATAATGTATCATACTTTTCTTCATTTTTATATTGTACCTTGACGATGAACATGTATATGTTTTGCTTATGAAATATTTGATTTGAATAAATTCATTTGTTAATGTTTTCTATTGTCAATTGTTACTTAATCATTTCATTTATTACTGGCTTAATAAAACCATATAATTTATACAATTATAAGGTTATATATATAATTGAGTTGTTGTTTTTAAATACTTGCAGGATCGTGTTGAAAGGAATCTTTTGATGACCTAATTCTGATTTTATCAATTTCTTTCATTGACAGAAAACATTGGAAACTATATATACATTTAAGGACCTTGAAAAGAATTTTATGATATTAATCATTGACATATCAAAAAGTATAATCGAATCAGTATCTACCGGTACCGCATTGCCCTACCGGAGGCCTAGGCTCCCGCCACTTAGTGTAACTGTGTTAAGTGGAGAAGTTGTGGCGCTAAAGGCATCCTCGCCTGGTATCACCCTTATCGTATTTTTATGATAACCCCACGATTTGGACTCGAATACGTTCCTTAGTGACATAATCAGGCGGGCTGATGTTTATACAACATGATACTGCAGTGTCAATCATTATGTTATTTGAATGTTCTTACTTTGTTTACTAAATTTGTTTGCTAGTATAACCAAAGCACGCACTAAAGGTATTTGCAACCAGTGAAGTGTTATGAACTCGCATAGTGTTAATAGTGTTAATAAGCTGGTCATCCACCACAGAAAAGCAAGAACAGCCAACTTGAATAGCAAATTTTCGGCTGTGTTAGCAAGTACAGATTCTGATAACTGTCAAATAAACCATGTTTATAAAGGTTCTTAAGTTGACAGTGTTTCGCTGGTATTGACATTTGTTTGCTTTAACCATTATATTTCAAAGCATTCATACTATTGTTTCACATCTATAAGTAATATAAATTTAATAAACTGAAATGTATATTGTGTTAACTTCTAATAATGTCAATATACACGCCGCTGTGATATGTCTTTCATTTTGTTAATGAAACTGCCTGAAATTTCAACCGGTCTTAAAATGCAATCACTTAAATGGCTTTTTAACATTAATAATCCATCATTGATTCCAGGACTTTAATGTGTTGAAAATTGAGTACCGCTCTCCGAAGCTTGGGGCGTGAGGGGTGTTGCACTTTTTCTTTATTCCACATGTACAGACTCAATAAAACCGACTCTTTACTTGCCATGTAAGTTGTTGTTATTATAGCTTCTTAGGGACACTACTTTTGACTACTTTTTTTCCAAATTGTGCATTTATTTCAACAGCAACAAGCTATCAGAAGCGAAATACAGGACTTTAATAAGCATCTTCAGATGGATCACAGTTAATTTCTCTATTTCCTAAGGCTAGTTGAAAAAACATACTAATAGGCTTCATTATATTACAGAATTTTACTTTTCACGAATAGTTTTAAAGAAAATATGTTAAAATCGAACACGTAAGTGTGAACGGTTGAAAAAGGTTGCTTTTTTTCTCACGAAAGTACTATATGACTTGGTACATATACACTTAAATTAACAAATGCGATTGGGTCTAGTTATGATGCAATCAATATGTCTGCAACGAGTTCACTCGTCAGCAAAAAAGGGTGAACCATTTTACCACGACAGTCTCTCATACATTTTGAGTAAAACAAAAGCTAAAAGTTATTACATGTAAATTGAATTCAGTCAAGTATCTCCTCCCCGCCCAATGCCTAAATTATGCGAATGATTTATCAAATCCATTAATATTGATTGCAATTAAAAGCAGGTGGGAATTTCAAAATAAGAAGATTTCATAAACTTATGAGACAATTTACAATCGCATGATCTTAATGTATATTAAACTAAAATACATTTCAATAAGTATTAAATGTATGTGACAAATTTAAGTCACGTTTGTTGCAATAAAATATATAAAAATAGTTCGAAATATGATGATTAGAAAAATAACATTTCCATGTAAATGTTTCGAAATAACGAAATAACGATGGTGAGCGGTCGAAATTACGATGTTGAAAATACTAACTTATTTCGAGTTTTTACCATCGTGACTTTGTAACCTCGACTTTTCACCATTGTACGTGTTCGTACGTGCTAAAACCACCGAAAATGCAATGTGGCACATGGCTGGTTTCTAAATGTACAACAATTTCCTAATACATTGCTTTTGCCAGTTGAAAAACAATCGTCAACCAGAGTAGCTAGAATCAAACGATATTAAGATTGACACTTAAGTATTATCTTGCATCAGCCTGCAAGGTAGGGCCGATATTCATCCCACTGACTTATGCAGGGACGTTTAAAATAAAAAAAGCTTGTTATGCAACAACATCACACACACACAAATTGACAATCAATATACAATTAAAAATTATTGAGAAAATATGCTAATAAATCTATTTTGTATAAATTAAAACAAATGTTTGACAGGTAAAATTAAAAGAAATATTTCTTACTTGAAAATTGTAGCGTTAATATTGTCAAAATCACTGCCATTGCGCAATCAAAGTTGGCCGTCATGAACGGAACGATACCGCAAATGAACTTACCAATAAAACAATTATCAATTTATTTTAAATTATTTTTGTGTACTCTCAACATGTCTCCGCCCTCTTTCGTCACGCGATATTGATTGACACCCGAAATACAAAAAACCTGCTTGTCAATATCGGCGATGTCTGATCTTTTACCGCCTTATGCAAAGTAGATTACTTAATTCGTGAAGGTCAAGGATTATGTTAAATGTTTATAGTAATGATTTTTATAAAAACATCGGAATTCGCATTCATGACGAAGGGTTATGTTTACTGCTTTAACAAATAAAATCTACGGACGAGTAATTTGTTAGAACGAAGTAAGGTACCTGTCCAGCATTACCTTGTTTTCAATGTTGCTCTTTTACTCTAATTATCAATTGGAATATAAGCCTGGATGTAACATCTTTTCTTATTTTTATTCAAAATCTTATAGCAGCTTTTTTGGCCCATTTTATTGTGAATATAATTTGGTACCAGTAAGTCATGTTAATTTTATCAGAACAAAAATTCCCAACCTTTGCCATGTGGTCTGAATATTGTTCAAATTATTGATTCACCTGAAATGGGGTCTCAGTTATTGCACATGGGCATTCAAGCTAGAATTCCCCAGGTGTTTTTTTTTCAAATGTCACAAGTTCTCTAAGGAAACTTTAAAGTGACATTATGCTCATATTTTCAAAGTCAAATTGAGCTGAATTTTGAACTTTATATATCAAAAGATTGACTGGTGTTTGACCAACAGTTGATATTGGAAAATGTTTAGGATAGAATTATAAATATGCCTAAAATTAAAAAAGACTGCCCCACTCTTTTTATAAACTAAGCGTTATAGGTAAATACTAATGGATCTTTACCGAAAGTTCATTTGGATCTGTGTGCTATTTATTTCTAATGCGAACTTCATTATCAATTTGAAAGGAATTTATGGCAGAATGAAAACTTCTTTTAATCTTCACCCGTTCACTTACTGTATACTTTTGGATTTGCATAATATCAATTTAAACAACAGCAATACTTCAAACATTAATTGCTGTACTAGTAAATACTGTTAATGTTCGAATGATTTTGAGGACGAATTGTTCTGTTAAAAAATATATCGGTAATATCAAATAATAAAAATGAAAAAAAGTTAAATATAACAAATTCTTAGTAACGTAGTGTTTACTTATTCATAAAACATTAAAATAATTGATTAAACAAAATATTGCATATTGCTTTGTATTGGTCTGGAATTTATTGCAATTAATTGTGATAAATCTTGAAATAAACTTGCCTTTTCACTCAGTAAATCTGTTATATAACGTAAGTGTTAATTATTTTCATGAATAAGCATACGTTTGCCTGTTTTGCGTTGCGCCCGTAGCGCCAGTAAATCACCGCTGCGTATTTTAGTCGTACCCCTGTTTCCCTGTCCGAATTTGGTTCCCGTCATTAGAATATAGACTGGCTTATTGACACGTTATTTCTTAGGTAAATGAAATAAGATAATGATAAACAGCATTTGATATTCAATTATGGCACTATCACTTCAATTAAACTTTTAGTTTAATTCCTTAAAGCTTGGTGACATGTTGTACATCAGAAAAGCTATTTTTTATTAGGAAATCAATGTGATTTTGATAAAACAAAACACAAATACACAAGAGCAAGACTAAAGTTTTCCACATTGCTGAATATATACCAGACGCCGCGGTGACTATTTAATTGAAAATTGCAGAGTCGGTTTAATTGAGTCTATTATTAAGGGATTATG